AAAACAAGGTTGACGGACTTAACAACTTAACTTAACTTACTTAACTTTACTTTACTTTACTTTACTTTACTTTACTTTACTGACTGACGCGATAGCAATATATCTGCGCTACGCGCAGATACAAAAAGAATTTTGGATTTTGATTATTAAATGTGGAAATAAGCTTAAACACGAAAACGAGGCTGAGGAGCTTATTTCCACATTTAATAATCAAAATGCAAAATTCTTTTTTATGCATGTGTTGACGAAGGATGTTCTGCTTCTCTGACCATAGCCTGTGAGAAACAAACTTAAAATCCATTCCATTTAATGTGGTCCTAAGTTGAAAACAGTGTAGTCGTGACGTATCACCGGAAAAGTCTAGTGTAACTTCCAAATTAGTAAATGTAGTCTTTATATCGTGGTCTTCTATTTTGTAGATCATCGTTCGTCAGCCGAAAAAGGAATTGAGCTAATGCGTCCCTATCTACACGAGTTTTTGACGTCTTGTTACGAACATTACGACATAGTCATTTGGTGTATGTCTTAATATTCTAAACTAAAACCTGTTGGCGTAAAACGACCGTAACTTACCGAAAATATTTTTTCATTTATTTTTCAGCTGCCACCAATATGAAATGGGTGGAAGCAAAAATGAAGGTAATATTTACTTTTGATGTCTTTCTAGGAAAAGTGGCGTGACATACGAGACCTAATCTCCTGCATGCGCATGCGTACTTAGCGACTGAGTGAACCCGCTAAAGTCGGTATGCGAAGCGGCCGGTTGTTTAAAGGCGGTTCGCTTGCTTTATCGCTCTAACCAAAGAGATATCAGGTCTATATATAATACTCTGTTGTGATAATTTTACATTTACCTTAGGAACTTTCTGTGTTGGATAACGCCAATTACAAGATTATGTTCATGTTGGACTCTCTCGCAATGATAACCATCGACCATCCCAAATATGGAGTTATCGAGGTAAAATCAATCCGAAATTATTCAAATGTTATAAAGTGCAACGCATATCTCAACCCTGTATTAAATTGTTTGTTTCGCATATACATTTTTCTGTTGACTTAGACAAAACCACTGGGTGTTATATGGGGGAAATATCCTGAAAACTACAGCAAAGAAAACAGTATTATAATCGATGATCTACGGCGAAATTTCATCATGAATCCTGGAAATGGCTTGAAGGTATGGCACTGCACGAAAGATTGATTCCTTTAAGGCTCGATCAAACGAGACGAACATTCGGGCAGGCTGAAATGTTTGCTTCACCGCGGTGGGAATCGAACCACCGAATGCAACTAGTGAGCTCCATAAATATCTGGAGCGAGAAATCGAGTCCAAAAAGTAAAGTCAGCTTCGTGTTAACCGCGCAGACAAAAACAATAGAAAGGGACTGGAACTGACGTCCAACAGCTCCTTCAATTTCCGCCATCGTGGCAAGGAGTGTGCCGAAATATCGTATTTTGACATCGATTTAAGGAATAACACTCAGGATTCGAAATAGCTGCCGGCTTCCGGCGATAGCCGGCAGTTTAGGACCTTACCGGCGATTTTTAATTTCAAAGCATATAGAGGATCGGCGAAAATATTATATTTATTCATCGATGACTCGCTTACAATAACACCGTACATATACACAGAACTTGTCAATGTTTGTTCCTACACCAAATAAAATGTATTACTGCATTCTTAGAAATGTTGTGTTGGTCACTATTATTTGGCCTATGCCCACTCCAGAACATAACTAAACTTCGCTTGGAAAACAGCCGGCAAAAAGTTTCACCTACGAAAAACAGCCTACAAAATTTGACATATTTTCGGAACGTTATTTCGAACCCTGACACTATGGTTTTATGAACTAATAATTTGGCTAGCAATACGGTCCGTTAGAATAAAACTGGAATTAGCTGGGGAAAATGGTATAAAAACTGTTTACGACCTTCAGAGCTATTGGACGTCAATGACTGCCATCTTGGCTTCACTTTCTCATAGTCCGAATGACTGAAGTTTTTGCTCCATATATAATATATATGGAGCTCACTGGATGTAACATGTTCACCTCGTTTCAACACTATGTTGGGTAATGTTGCCTGATATTGGAAGATATTCATCCAACATTGTCCTCCTTTGTTGGACCAAAAAGGTTGGATTGAACGGGGATTTAAGCTTCGAAATGCTAGACAAGTGAAACAACGAGTGTCTGGGTGCAGGGCATGGAGATTTTCAAAACAATGAAAAGATGCATCTAAATTAAGTTTTGATGCTTGTGATGTTACTCTGAGTGTGTATCCACACCGGGCAAGCTTGAAAAATATGCCTGACCACGGTGGGAATCGAACCTACGACCTTTGGAATACTAGCTCAATGCTCTGTAAATTAAGTTTTGTTTCCAATAGATCCGACCATTCCGTGAAGCTCATCTAAACAGAGGAACGGATACGGAACTTAAGGGACTAACGAAATACCTTAAAGAAATCGCGGATTTGAAGGACTTTGATGAACTAAATCACGATAGATGGGAGAAATATAAACGAGAGGAAAAACAGACTGACAGTTGATGCTAAAATGGGGTATAAAATTGTATTTTTTATACTTACACAAAGAAAAGAATAGCTTTTGAAAATGGTCATATGAGGGTACAATGTACCCGACTTTGTTTTGCGCAACTTTGCCTCGCCATAAAAGTTAGCAAAAAGACATACCGAACCCGTTTATCATGTCAAGTACCTCGCAGACGAATAACATTTGAGTTATATTTCCTTCAGTTCTGTTTGTTCGTATATATTATATTATTTTATATATAACCCGCGAATGCAAAATAACAAAATATTTACTAAATAAAATCTTTCAATTTTGACGAGTACTCTTATATAACTGTAGTTTTGTTTCAGTCAAAGCTGGTGATGCCACCTATTGACAGAAATTTATTCGACTTGTTCGTGTGTTCAGACCAGTGGTTCAGACATGACAAAAAATTATTCTGACTGTACAGGTTTTTAATCGTCTGGACGGGGCTTTCTCATAAATATTTCTTTCCTGCACCAAATTCCGCTTTTCATGTACCGATAGATTTATGTTGCTTTATAATAAATTTTAAAAGATCTGTCGCTATCATGTTTATGTTATTTACCGCAATTACTTCCTCATTTTTCGTTTTTTCCTGTTGAATTCGTTCGCCTCAGCCTGTTGGTTCGATAACATTGCTTGAATTTCTTTCGTCTTCTGTGCTCGCTCCGCATCCCTGGGAAAAATGGATGTTGTTAAAAAATGTAAATATTCATAAACTCACATTTCGAAAAACCCTCATGCTGATTGGCCAGCAAAGCGCCACGTGTCTATATATATCTGGGTTTTTGATTGGTTCAAACAATTTTGGGCTACAAAGTTCTGGATTAATTTCAAAAATCTGAATAACCCAAAAACAAGAATTTAAACACACACCTTTGCAATTGTTCTTGTAACTGTTGTCGCGCCAAAAATTGACTGTCTTTTCGTATTTCTCGTAAAGCACCCTATATTGAATAAAGAACTATTCTTAACTCTACTCTAATAAGTTGTGTACAACATCAAGTCACTTTATGTTCACCCACATGCATTGAATCTATATCACTCTACGGTACCTTGAATTCTTTCTTGTGTTTGTAGCGAAGTTTTTGACGTTCGTTTATGTGTTTATTGCCAGACGAATGTTTGCGCTTCACTTCGTAACTGAAATTTTGATAAAACGATTACAAAAACAATCATATAATATATGATTATGATACAAGCCCTTAGTAAGCCGGGCCTTAGGGTTGTGTTTTTCTTTCTATCGCAATTCGCTTATAATAATTATGTCTAAGTGGACGGCAAAAAAATGAACCATGAAAACTTACTGTTCGTCAAACTTTGGTTCGAACATTTGGATTGGTGTGGGACGGCGAGTTTGTAGTGCCAGCGGTTGTCGTGTTGTCACGTGACTAGTGATGGTTTCCAGTATATCAGCATGTAAATTCTAAAAAACAGCATCATGATAATGTATTAGGTCGATGGGAAAAGAAATGCTATATGGATTATTTTACAATTTAACTGGTTGATCTGGCCGGTTTAAGTCAGTTACTCGCATACTACTATAAAAACATATCCACAATGTACCTGGATTCTAATGGGATAGTTTGATGTCCTCATTCTACAAAAGAAAGAATGATTAAGTTGAAAAAATATTGAAAACTACTTGCAAACTTTTCCTGGTAATAAAACACTCCGCTTGCCTTTTCATATGATGAACAGCGGGCTCAAATATTTCGGGAAAGGCCACTTGGTCGGCATAGAGCGTCACAAATTTCTTCAATACAACCAGACATGTGTAAATAGCAGTATATCTAAATAAATAAATATATTCAGTAAGTGGATAAAATCCAGTAGGTTACACGCTAGAGATCAAGAATTATCATGGCTTGCTCTTGATAAGCCCAATATATCGGTTGGCATGTAAGGCAGTAACAAAGTCTTATTACTCCATTACACAAAAGCAGTCTGGTATCATTACTGTACCTTGAACAATCATTATCTTGAACATCACTCGTAAAAATTTTATTGAGACTGACTGGCTTCGGCTCATAACTATAGAAATAAAAATATACATTTCAGGTGACCAGCCTTAAAAAACCAGCCTATACAAAAGGTGTTGGTCTACCGGCAGTTTTCACAATGAGAAAATGATCATTTTCTTGTTTTTATCAGTGTGAGCTGTTCGGAAGTTGACTACCATATACAGCCTCATAACGTTTACAGAAACCTATACACCTATCTACAGGGTGTCTAAAAAAAACGCTATGGAAATTCAACAGGCTGTTGTGCATCATAAACGTGGCTAAACAATTCATTTTTACATAAGACGAAAGAACAGTTATTTAGCTTCTCAATGATACTCTTTTTAAATCGTAACGATGAGAAATGGCCAAATACTCGTCAAATAAAAATTGCCTGTCGAAATCACATTCTTCCACCGTTGGGAATTGCAAGGAAAACGAACCATAGACAATTCCCAATAGGGAATTAAAATTGAATGTTAAATTATCTAAAATGAGCTCAACTCGTCGATCTTCGTCTTAGTGAGACAATAACTCAATAAGAACGTCCATAAAACATAATTCAATTAACCCCTGAACAGAGAAGATTCGTAATCAAAATGTTTTACGAAACAAATAGCTTCCAGGTTGCTTGCAGCAGGCTTGTGTTGCTTTTGGATTGACTAATTTTGCATAATTAATGTATTTTCAATTCCCAACGGTGAAAGAATGTGATTTTTTTTATTTGACGAGTATGTGGCCATTTCTCATCGTTACGATTTAAAAAAGGTATCATAGAGAAGCTAAATAACAGCTCTTTCGTCCTATGTAAAAATTGAATTGTTTAGCTAAGTTTATGATGCACGATAGCCTGTTGAATTTTCATAGCGTTTTTTTTAGACACCCTGTATACTAAAGTACCTTAAATCTACATCTGAATCAATCTTGAGAATATCCTTATATTTTGAACGAGATTTGAACGGCGGAAATAACTTGCCTAAGATATAAAAACAAATATATCATCACAAATAAGTATTATTTAGAAATACATTAACTGATTAACACGTATATTTTTATACGCTCAAAATCAAAAAACACTGGGTACTTCTCAACCAGTCAAACACTTTACATGGCAACGATCTTGATCTCTGGGATTCAGTGTCCGCGACGATGTGTGTAAATCACATTGGGTATCAATAATGGTTCTCTTCCAGTATGAAGAAATGTAAAGAACACTTTTCGACGCTTCGAGCGAAGGCCCTTTATCAAGAGTCTTTTAATGTTGATTGGATAGTTGGTTGGTAATTTGCTGGTTGGTTGTAGGGTTGGTAATTGGCTGGATAGATGGTTGGTTAGATGGTTGGTTGAATGGTTGGTAATTGGCTGGATGGTAGGATGGTTGGTAATTGGATGGTTGGTTGTAGAGTTGGTAATTGGCTGGATAGATGTTTTGTTAGATGGTTGGTTGCATGGTTAAAGACTTGGTTAAGATATCATCTACCAATGCTTACCTACTGGCCCAGTCTTCTCAGAAGAGAGATATAAAATTCCTATTAGGTAGTTTATTACTTCTGCGACATATCGTTTTGATGTCCGTACAAACTGCAAGACAAAAAATATCAAACTTTTTGACAGAAACCTAACCGTACCAGTAAATGGTGAGGTTTGGATTTGATATTCAATACCACTACCTTTTACTGACTAAGTACGTGTGTGATTGGTTAATCGGGTAGATTAAACGCATCTGATTGGTTAATGGTCCCTTGATGGTAGGGGTATAGCGGTAGCGGAAGTAAAATCTAAACCTCACTATAATAAATGAGTGCCTATCCTATACGACTACAGACCATCCATAGCAAAAAAAAATTATCTACAAGAAATCAACGTTTCATTCTCTTACACTCACCTCGTACACTAAAGAGCAAACAAATAATCCTATGAAAGCATCTCGAAAACTCTGTACTGTAATCTAAAAATAATTGCAATTCATGTATTTCATTTCAGTAATGATATGATGTCAAAGTACCAAACTAATGCTTTGAATGGAGTGAATCACTAGTAAAGGTGCTTGAAGTTTCAAATACCGTACTTTATTTTAACTCAGTTAATCAGTACAATAGAAATAACGAGTGTAATGTTCCCGGTATCTTTACCTGCGATAAAATTTGACCCATGAATATCAACGCTGGTGTACAGACTCCATGTCGAAAATCCGAAGTTGGGAATAGAACAGATATTGCTCTTAAATATATCACCTGAAATAAAAACACTTGGTTGAAGATTTCTAAGAATTTGATTTGACCCAATTACTAGAAATCTACAAAGAATGTACCTTAATTGTATTATATTAGAAAATTTAAGGGTATTAGATTCCTGAAATAACTATTAAGCTCAAAACATCAGGAAGACGCAACTTTAAAAATTTGACGAAAATTCTAAAGGACGGTTCAAATGGACCCAACACCATCCAACAATTTTCAAATGTTTTGTATCGCTTATTTCACAAATGTATAACCAAAATACTACCGTCAGCAATACCCGTGAAACGTACCGTTTGTAAATCTGGGACTTTACGTTTTCGACCTTAAAATGAAAATTCAAATACTTGCATATTTAGAACGTTCAAACTTCACACAAGAAAAAACACAAACAGTGGAAAGTTTTTACCATGCAGAATAATTAAAATTTCCTTACTCAATTCACAAAATCGTTTCTGAATTTCCTTTAATTTCGTTTGCATCGATTTGGCCGTGTGTAGGGGCGAGTGTTGTGCAAGATTGAAAAGATGACTAAAAAAAGAATGACTTCTCGTAAAAACCTCACACACGTGGCACGTCAGTTTCATGAACTGCTTTATGAAGCAAAATGAATTATTTTAAGAAATTTCTTGTAGGTTTGAAGGCTTGTTACAAGTTGTTCCAACAACTTGTCATCGTCCTGAAATTCAACAATTTGTCAACAAGTTGTGAGTGACAACCTTGTAGCAACTTGAAAAAATAACAGCATTGTTACAACTTGTTGGCAAGCTTGCTACAAGCCTGTTGCGAACACATCTTGTTGACAAGTGAGATTTTTACGTGTGTAGATAATAGATCTCATTATCTATGTTTTGTCTGTTGTATGCAAGAAATGGTCGTTTCATCGTCACGTGGGTATTGTTTTTTCGCCCAACCAACCAAGAGCACACTGTTGGTTTAACTGCCCAATCGTGATATTACACAATGGCTAAATGAGAATATATAGTTACTGGTTGCTCTAGCGAAAATACAATATACACATGACAATGAACCGACCATTTTTTTGCATAAACCATATAGATAATGAGGTCTATATTATATCTGCATCGAGTTCCCTAACCTTCTTATTCAATCCCCTCTGGTTTAATAACGACACACATATACTAACTTATAATGGCTTACCAAACAAGTGCATCAACCGCTTGCAGTTCTGGTGGTGTCTGTGAGAGAAGGTCGTCTATATACGTTATAAGAATGTCGAAGAAAACCTATGCAAGAAAATACGTCATATGTCAGGGTTAAACAAGGATGGATCCAGCATGATCTGGTAGGGGGG